ATTGCAATGAATTTTCGACTTACCCAAAAGGTAATTGTATTTCTTCCTCATTTATAGAATTTCGGCCTGTAAGTTGTGAAATTATCTTATTATTATGCTGTTATGAAAGGTGGAGTATTCAATGTGTTAAAAGATGGGGTGTGCGACAGATTTACCTCTACGTGGAGCACCCAGGGCAACGTATACTCATTCGGTAAAAGGTCTATTAACTGGCAGTTGAATTCTGACTCCAAACTACCGCCACCCCACTGTATGCCAAATTCGACTACTTCCAACAGTACTCACCTCACCTTTTTTCTACCTTTGTGGCTGTCTCTTTTACATCTTTGAAACACTCTTCTTCCCCCTCCCCCTCCACTCTCGACTCTTTTTCACTTTGATGTTCTGAAGCCTGAGGTCAGCTAAAGGGGCGGCTAATGATAACTATCAAAACGCCTGCCATTTGATATGAATAAATAAATGTATTATGAGATATCGTTTTTAATAAAATTTTGATTGTCACTCCACCAATTTGATCTTATTGAGACTAGCGTCTACAATGAGCTATTTCAATCGAAATTACAAGATTAATCAACCTCAGCCTATCGAAATGTATAGCAAACCTATTTTTTCAATGTTTAAAGACATTTTAAAACATGCCAATTGATCTTATTTAACATGTGGTGAGTGAATTTTATGAAATGAAAATCAATATTAAAGGACAGTTTGTAAGAAATAATATGCTGTTTTAGCCATTCCTAATCAAACAATAAAGGTGTCAGAATACATGCATATTATCATCATTTCGAGTCAAAATGAAAAGGGGATTGTACAGAGTAAAATAGCAGACAATAATAACTAGTGGATACAAGGATTGTGCCAATGACTTCAGGGAAAGACTTGTACAAACCCTTATTTGGTCTCCTTACAATAAATCATTTAATTGTTCATCATTACTAGAACCTTGTTCAGTTAGACTAGCTCTTCTACATTTTGGATGTAAATTAATGTCTGGAGAAAAACAGTATGCACCGTTTGTGTGGCAATTCTACCCCCCCAACTAATTTCCTATTTAACCTCACTGATCTAAATCAAAATATTCATGTGGACTTAATGTTGGCATAATCTTAAAAAATGCCAAACTAGAGGCTGCCGTAATCTAGAGCAGATCATTGGATGAAAATACTCAATGCCCATTGGTCCACATTTTTGCTGAGCGCTGTTATAACAGGCCTTCATCACAAACCAATTTAAATGACCACAATCGCAAATGGGTATTGAGCTCACAGGAAAAGTTTATGCTCCGAGACTTATTAAAACGCTAAAGAATGAAGCCGTTTCGAGGCGTAAATTATTGATTTTTTAAATATTACTGCAATTTGGCATATTCCCAACACCCGTTGAAGATTCACATTCTATCTATAGTTGTATAAGAAGCGTAGACCACAATATAACGGTAATAAATAACCATTTATATTTAGAAATTATAAAATTAAGAGTATTCACACATCTGAAGTATTTTCCAAATTCACATTTAGAGATTCTTTAGGGGTATGAACAGGTGCGAAATTGAGATTTCCACTGATGGGGTGGGTATGGAGTTTATTCATCTCGGGCTCTCATTAGCTTCCCTCGTCTTAGATCAATGGTTAAGCCGTAATGAGCCAGAAAATCAGCACCGATTAATGCTACATTATTATCAGTCAGGAGAAAATTCCAGGCGAATTCCTTCTCAAGACCCAGATTCAAGGTGAGATATTTGTAGCCATATTCAACAACAGGACTTCCGTTGGCTTTCAAATACCTGCAGAACGGCAAGGGTGGCATAATTTCGCTCGGCATTTTAGGAATCTGAGAGCGATGAGCACCAGAATCAATCAAAAAGTTTATTTCGGAATTCCGATCAAAAATAAATGGTCGACGATATGCAATGGACTCTAGGGTTTCATTGTCATCTTTTGCAAATACAACCTCATTCTCCCCGCTGGAGTTGCTGACCAATTTTTTTGATCTTAAGTCAATTTTAAGATCGTAATAAACTAGGAAATCAGTCCCAATTATAGGGATATTTACGTCTGCGACGAGGAATTTCCACCTCCTTTCTCTGTCTAATCCCAATTCCACAACTATTTCTATTTCAGCATAGACGGCTATATCCTTGCCTTTTTCCGCGGGTATCCACTTAAGAGGCGACAATTTTTTCCAACTAAAATACGCGGGCGGAATAAAACAACATTGTGATCCTGAATCAATTAAAAATTGTATATCAGTCTTCCGATCAGTAATGAGTAGCACATCAAAATGCTGACGTGTAGATATCGATTCAGCAATGATCTCTCGTATATGCGTCTGTTGGTTGTTAGTCAAATTGGCCGGTTGACTTGGAATTTGCAGTGTTGGCTTTTGAATGGGCACGCCAGTGCATAATGTACTCTGCACAGTTTGGCACGGCGTAGAATTGCATCCACAGCAAATTGGCGAGTTCTGGTTCACATGGTTAGTGAGCGACGTAGTATGACAAAGAGGACATGTAAACTGGCAGCACGGTTGAAGGAAGAATGCCATCGGTACACACTATGCGGAGAAGAGAGCCTGTTCGAAAGGTGGGCCTAAAAATTACTGCAGAATATTAGTTAGCTTTAATGGCAAACTTGCCAATGAATATAAAATCCTGTTCATACGAGAGTGATGATCATCAACTCGCAACACATATCGCTACTTCGGAGCGAGCTTAATTTAATACAAATTTTGACCTCAGTGCATAACTTTAGTGGTCACAATCATTTAATTGGTGCTTTCGGTAAAATTTGTCATCAAACTCGAATTCCATAATTTATGATTTGAACCTTCGGGGTGTCCGGTAGACTTACCTCCACGTGGTGCACCCTGGGAAACATATACTCATACGGCAAAAAGCCTATGAACCGGCAGTTGACTTCTGGCATTAAATTACTATAACCCCACTGTATGTCATATCCGACCACTTAAGAGAAATAAACGTACCAATGAGCTTAAAGTAGTTTGAGCATGAATTTAAATTTAAATTTGAAGTATTTACCATTTTCCTGTTGGGGCTCTTATAAATAATGTTGACTAAACAGTTAAATTGTCAATATTCAAGTCCTAACGTCAGTCTCATTCTCGGCAGAATTAAGCTGATTTCCCAACTCGTTTTGGTAGAATTCATTTTTTTAAAAAATACTATTAAATTTAGCTTTAAGTGATTATAATAATTTAAAAACCTTGAGTCACCAGATTAACTATTTTTTGCCGTTCTAAATATTATTAATAACGCCTTTCCAATTATTTTAACCCAGAATAAATGTGCATTGTTTTTTAAATAAAATCTGTTTTATGCCTAATTTTATTATCACGGTGCCTACTATATTGAATCGCAAGTGTTCTTTTTTTTATTTCTTCTAAGTTGACCAGACAATTTAAACAAATTTGAAATTCCAAATCTGCCTCACTTTATAAGACTATTTAGATATTATTCCAAATATTTTAACGATAGTCAGTTACAAGCGTTACGCTTTACTTGTTTATATATTTGGACATTTTGTTGTTAAGAGGATATTTTGATCTTATTCAAAGTATTGATTATCTTGTTAGGCCAATCAACAAATCATTAGAACACAAATTGTTCTCCTTGGGAATTGTATTGTCTCCCAAGGGTAAATATTATCAGCTCCTGTAGTCACTTGGAAATATCTGGATAATTCTTTCACCAAACTGTTCGATTTACCAATCTGTAAGATCTGGGGCTCAGATTCACTTATCCCTCCAGCCAGAATGTGAATGAAGCAGTTAATTCCTTAACTCCTTCATGACCTTGATAATTAAATATTAAAGGACTTTGGTTATACCGATGAAATATTGACAATCTCAATATGAGCGATATCGATTAGAATTTTGAACATTTAGCACATGATGATCTCTTGACGCTCATTGGATCTCGATATTTCGAAAATTGGATTTACCTTTCAATAGGTTTTCAAGGGCAATTTGAAGTGTATTTGGACGTTGCCTGTGTTTGAATCAATGATATGCAAACTTGGAATATCTTTCAAAGCCATCTACCTTTAAATTATCAGGATAATTATTATTGCGTGCGTTGAGCTGAATTGCAGGCCTCAAGAGTATGTAAGAGAAAAAGGAAACAGTGTAATATAGTGCATATAAGAGGTTAGCGTTATACTCTTCCCCTAACGCCCGAAGTCACATTTGCGCCAAGGAAAGCTGAAGACCTCCCCCATCCCCCCCCCCCACCCCTCCACTATGACCCAAAATTGATGGAGCTGAGACAATGAAATTATACAAAAATGGATGAGTCAAATCTGGTAATATAGTCCATTATAAATCATCACCTTCCCAATTCGCTGTCCTAGTTGTTTATTTATTTATATCAAATGGCGGGCGTTTTAATAGCTATCATTAGCCATTTAGCTGATTTCAGGGCTACACGGTGAGGAGGAGGTACATCAAAGTGATAAAAAGTTGAGAGAGGGAACAGAAGAGTGATTCACAGATGTAACAGAGACAGACACACACAAAGGTAGATGAAAGGTGAGGTGAGTACTGCGGAAGTAGTCGAATACGATAAATAGTCGGGTCATAGTGGTTTGAAGTCAGAAGTCAACTGCCGATTAATAGACTTTTTTGCCGTATGAGTATACGCTGCCCAGGGTGCACCATGTGGAGGTAAGTCTATCGCACACCCCTGAGGGAGGGAATGGAAATTTAGGAGAATACGCGAAGCTTTAATGAATGGCAAGGGAGAAGTGAACACTTCCATTTAAGAAACCCCATCCTCTCCCAACCCCCCCCCCCTCGCACTGTATTAGCATTTTGTATAAGGTTACGGCCTTTCCACCTTCTTTTAAATTCCTTCAATTCAAATGAATTAATTCACATTACAGTTGAAAATGGCGCTTAATAAAGATTGCCCCATTTGTTTGAAACCTTTTGGGCATATTTCGAAATAGTTGTTTGGCCAGTTTTTTCATTGAGTCAATTTCTTATAGTATCAAAAGATTTAGCCATGGACTCCTACATAGAAGGTCAAATCGCAAAAAAATACTAAAAAGATTGTGTTTATTACGAGAGGGCATAACTTTATGCGTTTCAATATCTCCTAAAGGCTTTCATTGAGTTTACACTCAATATTATTAAAATATTTATTAACCCAACGTTTTCATGAATCAAATTTCATATTATTTTTAAAGCCCAGTTAATCAATTTGTTGTTACAGACTTACCAACCTGAAATTCAAACCACTCTCCAACCAAGGCCAGCACTCTAATTAAAACCATTTTTAACTAATATCACAACCAATTCACTTATAAATCAACTGTCATTTCTTTGCACCAATAAAAACCTCCAACAGAGGGTGATTTAAGTGCAGTCATTTATTGCTCTCATAATCACATTTTTTTAAAACAAAAATGAGAAAACACTACTTCGAGGTTTTTGGATCATTTTTTAAATGACGTATGTATTCATCTACATTATTCACCGCATTTACTATTATCCGGCTGAAGGATAACATTGCTGCATATATAACCGGTATGATACTGTAAAGTAAAACAAAAAAAACAAAAAAATGTAAAGAACTATAAGGCGGTTGTATCCAATATGACTTACAACTGATGAATGGAAGAGGTAGTATACAATGGCACCATCATTGTAATTCCAATTACCCAGAGGAAGCAGGTTAGGTAGGAAAGTTTTGAGGATAGGTCTGCGAGAATGTCTTCAATTCTTTTGGCACAATTAGTGCATGGTTTTTCACTAAAATTCTGGTTCATGTAGATTTCACAGCGTTTCGCATAAAATATAAATGCTACTTGAAGTCTCCCAACTGAGTTAATATCGCCTGGTTAGTATTCAGTTTCGAAGGTAAATTAAAATCATCCTCACTTAACACGACTCCAATTCATATGCAACGCACACACACACACACACACACACACACACACACACACACACACACACACACACACACACACACACACACACACACACACACACACACACACACACACACACACACACACACACACACACACATATATATATATATATATATATATATATATATATATACAATATTTAAGTTATTAACATATTCTTGTTCATTTTAAATTTTAAGCAAACGAAAGTCCTATATAAGAGTTCTTGGAGAAGTATTTAGATATTTATTTATATCAAATGGCAGGCTTTATGACTGTTATCATTTGTCCTTTAGTTGACTTCAGGCTTTACAGAGGGAGAGGAACATCAAAGTGAAAAAAGTCGAGAGGGGGGAGGGAAGAAGAGCGTTTCAAAGATGTAAAAGAGACAGACAAAAAGGTCGAAAAAAGGTGAGGTGAGTACTGTGAAAGTAGTCGACTATGACATACAGTGGGGTCATGAGAGCTTGAATTCAGAAGTCAACTGCCGGTTTATAGACTTTTTTGCCGTATGACTATACGTTGCCCAGGGTGTACCACGTGGATGTAAGTCTATCGCACACGTCAGTTCGTGAAGAGATTACTCATGTTTAAGTTAAAATAAATCTGAGAGATATTATACCAGCATTCTCTACCAGAGGCTCGCTTTTAAAACAGAACTATGACATAAAGCTGTAGTGATTCTCGCCTCGTTTATTCTCTGAAGCCTAGGAATGCAACGATTTCGCACTTTTATACACTTGCCTTTCAATATACCTCATTAGGTAACACTTTGAAGGCTATGACTTCAATTAAAAGTGTCTTTTTTTTTTGGGGGGGGGGGGGGACTATCGGGTAAAGTCATGTGACTCCACATAGTTCTGTGGATTATATCAGTTTTGACTGATCTGTCATTACCTAAAAGTGGAGGAGATAACGACTTAGCAAGCCCAAGCCAGGTACTTGTGCCGTGGTCCTGAAGAATGATCGAATTATTGACAAGATACCACGACAATTTGATTAGCCTTTGCCTATCGATCCAGAACAAAACACTTTAGGAGAGGTGATAGATCCATTTCAGACAAATTGCCAAATCTTGCAGAAAAATATTCTTTCCTTGTAATAGTGCGATTTAACCCACTGAAATTTTACATGAATTGAAGAAAGCTCTTCTGAAAATTTTAAGATACTAATATTTGACTTCAGGGGTGTACAATAGACTTAACTCCTCGTGGTACATCATACGGCTAAAAAGTCCATAAACCGGCAGTTGACTTCTAACTTCAAACTAACTTGACCCCACTGTATATCATATTTGTGGGACACGTTATCGCGTACCTACCTTACTTTTTCTCTACCTTTGTGTTTGATTGTTTCTTTTACATCTGTGAATCACTCTTCCTTCTCCTCTCTCGACATTTTGTGACTTTGTCTTTTCCTTCCCTCTTTGAAGCCTGAAGTCAGCTAAAGGGCTAATGATAGGTATAATAAAGCTTGGCATTTGATTTCAGAAATGTAAATTCTGAAGAGTTGGCTAGAGCAGATAATTTATAATATGGAAATTATTTGCTGGAGAAGTGCATCTTGGAGTAAGAAGAGAGAATTATTGAAACCTCAATAATTAAATATTTCTAAAATAAAATCACTTTCGTTTTCCTTAAATAGCTGTTAATCATTTCGCTGGTTAGAAATGGTAAACCAAGATGCAATATTGTTTACCTATCAAAGTAATTGTAATAAAAATTAAAAATTGTGAAAACATTTAAAATTCACAAAAAAGAAGGGGGGAGGGAGCTTTCTTTTTACTGTGACTCTCAAACTATTTCGAAATTTGAAGAATTTAAGTGGACAAGTAAGGTATTTATTAAGACTTGTTTTAACCTATATTGCGATATTTTACTTTGTTAATTCAAAATTCAACCCTATCTATATCGCTCATACTATGATCATTTCATTTAAAATATTTTTGCTGAATCTTAAATAGCTTATTGTTAAGGCCTTTTCTTCTTTCCATCACCCTGCGTGAAGGAAGCATTATAATATTCATTTTATAGTTCAATATGTATCACCTTTTAAATATTATTTAATAGAAAATGTAAGAAGCGTCTACAATAACTAATTATAGAATTTTTTCAAAGGCCGAATTAGGGTACAATATCCACACCGATGTGAAGCGATAATGTGTAGGCCCCTGGAACCTATCCCAATGAATATTCACTCAAAAACTCGCTATCTCAACGCTTTCTCAGACCTAATAGATTGTTGGGTAGATATGTGTTTCCTATACTCTAAGTGGTTTATTTCAATTTGATGACCTTGAGAGCACAAAATTATCAAGCCTGAACAAAGAAATATCCTTTGAACTCAAACAATCTGCAAAGTTTGACCATGTTACTGAAAACCTAGTGAGCTAATGCAACCGCATTTTTGGTCTGGTGGGAAGCAAGTGTAGATTAATGGAAATCAAAAGACGTTGTACTGTTTGCGCAGACCAATTTGTATAACAATGGTAAGCATTGCGCTGATAGAATTCAACCAGAGTAAACACTAATTTATCCATGCGCTCTACCTCCTCGATATTGTTAAAGTACCTAACTCAATCCATGAGTTACTTAATGATGAAGGATATTGGAAGAGGTTGCTGAGGTTTAGTCAAACATCATCTACAATGAACGTGTTGTTGCTACTTCCCCTGTTATTCGTTCTATTAAGTAAATTCAAATATTTCCTCTTCTTAATCAGACTAAAGATCAGGGATTTCGAGGTTAAATTGACACTGTAAGAAAAACAAAAATTGCCTTTTTCTTAATAGCACACTTAACTTAATTTTTGCAATGATTTATCTTGTGTTTCTTCCGAAAATTAGAATTTATATCAGCCTACTGATTTGTTTTCTATTGGATCAATGTTATTAAACTTTGTGCTGATGTCAAGAGCCCATCATTTTTATTCTTCCTTATCTTATCTTAAAATTCGAAGAAAAATCATTACTTATTCGGTTCGTAAAATAATTCATCGTAGAACATACCGTTTTAAAGTTTTATTGATGCCAATCTGATTTGAAATAATAGCCACTTCCATTTCCCACTTTTAATCCGAAATTAAATGATTAAGACATAACACTGTACACAACTAGAGCATTTGTGTCTTCTATTGTCGAGATTTAATAATTCAAGATGTCTTAACAATGTAGGAATGGTATTAATAATCGAATGGGTAGTTTTATAGACATCAGACACGTATTTTTAATACGAAATGTAATTACTCAGTTATTTGAATGGATTGATTTTATTACACTAAAGTGAAAGCATATGACTTGGCAGGTTTTGCATTTAATAGTAATTTCATAAAAGTCGATATGATTTTGCCAAACCCTCCTATTTATAGTCAGTTTGTTATAAAATGGTAAAGCTATTTGAAATAATTTGACTTAAAATAATATTCCAAACCATGCGGTTATTTTAAAGTTTTTTCAAAGCATAATAATGCAAATGTTCACAAAGGAAGTAGAAGGGAGAAGTCGTTTAGGCTCAACTTTTAGAGCAATGATTATAAGATCAATAAAAAGCTTAATGAACTTTCTGATCAAATAAGATAGTAGTTGTGAATATGGGAATGGATAAATGATGCATTGCCTTACATAGTTTTTTCCAATTATAATATGTCTGTTTATTCGTTATGTAAAAAATTCCCAATTATTGCTAACATCCATATATTATCAAGCTTTGACGCATGACAGTATTTTATGTTACAACGTCTATTAGGGAAAGGAACTTTTTATAAGATATATGTAGAATTTGTAGTAGTTCATTAGGGATTGCATGGTATTATCAGCATTCGATATTAAAATTTCGGATTAATTTTTGCATAATTATCACTCCCTTGTGAAATAATTATTAACAGAAATTATGAAATGTCAAATAAATAAGTCTTCGAATTGAAATATGAGTTTTAATTATCATTATATAAAGTTAATGGTGCCCATATTTAACCAAGCTATGAACATTATTTCCACATTTCGAAAAATTGTTTTATTTTTATAATCAAATTCACTTTGTTTTTGATATTTAATGCAAAATTTTAAACGGCTAAAATAACAACTACCGACAGGGGCGCGTATTATCATAACCAATTCTTAATTTAGTAAAAAATGAATTGTTTTATTCAAAAGTTCTTTAGGTATTTTTTATTTTTAACTTACTATTAAACTATTTGCATTGCAATCATATATTTTAACAGGAAATTATCTACGTAATTGTGAACTCTCTCTAAACTCGGCCTTGAATTGGTAGGGGAATTGAATTACTTCTTTGATACAGAAGATGGATCTTTTAAAATACTCTGTGAGTTATCGTGATTTGTCCTGCGCTTTATCTCAAAATGATGTTGACAGTGTGAATGGCTGGTTATCCGACAATATTATCCAGTTCTTTGGCGAATTACTAGAAAAAAATTTCAAAATGACGAATTCTACATCGAATATCCATTTTCTTCACCCGATTGCCTCCAATTATCTTCGTATTGATTCCAAAGCTGTTCTCGATTACTTTACGTTTGCTGAAAATGATTGGATATTGTGTCCAATTCACGACTCTAATGATTATCATCCACAAGGAAGTCATTGGTCTCTTTTAGTGATATCGGTGGATCTGAAAATATCATTTTATCTTGATTCAAGGCTCCCTACTCGTGAGTGTGAATCTCTACAACTACAATATGCTAAGCGGAACAACGAGATCATTTGCTCTTACTTTAACTGGGAAAATGAATTTCGTATTTTACCTTGCTTCCAACAGATTGACGCATTTTCATGTGGTGTATATGTAATATTCAACATGCTGTGTATTTGTAACTATTTATCCAAAGATGATTTTAGTTGGATCGATAAAGGTATCGGCGATCCTTTGGTCAGCGAACCTCCCGAAAAACTCAGAGGTATTCTCCGAATAGAGGTGGACAAATATCTTAGAGATCGCAACCAAAATTGAATTGTTTTCTATTTTTTATAATTTTGCTTTAATAAACCATCTCTCTGCGCCAGAAAAAATCGCATAGTTTTGTGATGTGTGTGGGTGTGTGTGTGTGCTTTTAAGAGAGATTAATTTTAGAAAAGAAAACCTTGTAGAAATCATGAACTTCATTTCCGATAGCGGGTTACATCCGTCTTTGAAGTGGAGTCAAGATGATAGTAAAGTGTACATTGCTGTCAGACTATCCGATGTTGAGGTAATCAGCAGTATTTGTCAATTTTGAAACGGCTTTATAGAATCCCACTTTACAAATTGGCAACAAATCAATCAGTTTTCGAACCACTGGGGTGGGAGCCAGTGGTCTAGGGGAGTACTCCTTCTCATTGGACCTCTTCAGTTCTGTTGACGGTGAGGTGTGTCTCTACTGTCTTTTTTCTTGCTAAAGTATATATATATATATATATATATAT